TCACAGATATGGTTGGCAATTGGCATGTTGGCTTCTTAGGGTTGGATCCTGGACGACGAACTGGCGGGGCAGTTGGTTGGAGTAGACACGGACAGAATTGATGGATGGCCAGCAGTATGTTCGATGGAGTTGACACCACCCACGGCTATGGCTACAGTGGCTACAGGACACAATTCAACAAGATTGAGAAGGGAACGACCATTGCTATCCCAGACACTCCATGTATGGAATGCTTCACATACTGCATGCCTTTCACAGATTGGGGTGGTTGGTTTCAGAGGCAAATGTAGGTATAACTGTATAACGGTATCACCGTAAACATATGCCCAATCGGTCTTGTTTGGGTTTGGTGACTGGTCTTTGCCGAATCGACCGGGGAGACGAGGCAGAGACAAGGCGGGTTTCTTCGCCGCCAGGGCGTCGACTCGGGTGCGACTTCGGGTGCCACCGTGAGCTTCTTTGAGGGCAGCTTTGTGGAGGCTTTACAAGTGGCAGCTGATGTGGAGGGTCGCTGGGCGGCAAGCTGACCCAGAGGCAGTGACCCGGTGGTTTCGCTGCTCACTGGATAAAGGAGGAAATAAGGAGAAGAGAGATGAAGAGAGATGAAGAGAGATAGATTTGTATCAGAGGTGATTGGCCTGGAAAGGTGACCTGATGGATCCGCATGTCGTTTGTGCCGAATGGATCCGAATGCTTCGATTGAGGTCGTACCGAGGGACGGAAACTGTTGTTGCTGTGGCTGCACCAGAAGGAGTCCACCCTGGTGGATTCGCATGTCGATGAAGATGGCGATTGAAGGGAGAACACAGATGAAAAGAACAGGGCTGCTACTGTAGCAAAGGAATCCCTCAAGACGTGGATGGGTTTCAAGGCTGTTCGTGTCGCAAATTCATGGTCCGCCGCATGAAGTGATGAATTTCATCGAACTGCCCTGCCCTGGAGGACGATGAAGATGCGCAGCACTTGAGATGCATTGGAAATTGGATGTGTTTCAAGGTTGTTTCAATGTTTTATTATTTTTACAATCCTTGTGCGGGTTCAAAGCAGATGGACACGAAGCTGCCTTCTCTTCATTCTCAGTAGGGGTACGTGCTCCTTAGTTAGTCGGCAACACACTTGATTGCGATGTGGCAGTGACTCGTTGACTCGAAATCTCAGAGACCAGACCAGACCTACAGTTTTTGTTTTTGCATGTGTTTTTCTATGTTGCCCCCTGCCGAAATTCCCGGGTGCACCATGGCGCCGCTATTCTTTTTGGCGCCAGATCCATTCATGACGATCAACCTGTGGGACACCTGGAACTTCAAGCATGGCCGACCACTTGAAGGGATTGCAAAGAGCCACCCATGATTGACAGTCCCGCCCCGCATAGGGACGGACTTTCGGCGCATGTCGACCAAAAGAAAGAGATTCACAGTTGAAATGCACACGAGCATATTCAGAAGGTGAAGTATGGTAATTTCTTGGTGGATTGATTGAACAGTTGATTGAAAGCTTGTGACCATGATCGGTGATCCCCTGAAGAATGTCCAACACCATCAACAACTGTTTGCTTTGCGGTTGAGCACATCCATTCTTGTTGAGTCCAGACAGGCTATAGGTAGGTAGGCAGGACCAGAGTCAATGCCCCCCACCCTATGGTAGGACCTTAGTCAAAGGCGCACCTATGGTGAACGGTCAGCTTCAATGGAACAGTAGGGACCGATCACCCGCTCGTCCCCACAGTGGTGCCGTTCGGATCCTGGAAGAGTTCACCTGAGACAAAAAGCACGCGTTGTCCTCCGTGCTCATTCTTCCCACCCAACCTTCCGGTGATCCCACGGTGTTCAAGACAGGCGGGTCCTTCAACAGCCGCGTCCGGACCGCCAGGTATCTGTGCCGCCAACTCTGGACGCATCCCTCCATCGCCGCCGAGCTCGCCGGCCGCGTGCTGCCCTGGGCCGGCGACGTGTGCCGCGCCGACGCGGGCGCCGTGGCGCGCTGCGTGGCCGGGAGCGCGGCTTCGGAGGGCGGAGGGCGGGCGAACCGAACGGCCGAAAAAACACCCTTGGCCCAAAGCCCAAGGTCCTGGGAGGTCAGACTGGTCCGGATTTCATCCCCGGGTCGTGGACACAGCGACTCGGTTTCGTGTTTTCCGGCAAGGCTATATATGCTATATACACAGCTTTGCGCACCCAGAGTTGCAATCTCTGAGAGCCAAGGGTTGTAAAGGTGGACATAGTTGCGTGTGATGCAATAGATGGTGTTCAAGTTGTAGAAGGCCGTGGAAGCGTGCAAACATTGTAGGCGGCAAAATGTGGTGCCAGACGAGGTGGACAGTTGCAAATGTTGCGAAAGGCATCGACATTTGCAAAGGGGTATGAAAGTTCAGCAAGTTGTGACAGGCAAAGTATTGGAAAGCTGTAAGACTGTAAGAATTGCAAATGGTGGAAAATGATCGTCTTTTTCTTTGTTTGTGCACATGGCGTATATAGGGTGTATATAGGGTGTTATTTTTTTTGACTAGGACATCAATTTTAAAGGTTGACGTTATTTAGAGCAGCTGGTCGTTTGTTTAATTGCTCTTACATCTCCTCCCACAGCACCTGGCAGCCCGCGCAACAGAGCGGCGCTGCGTGTGTGTGCAAGAGTTTCGCTGTCAACGTGAAGCGTTCAAACATGTTCAACCACTGTTCTGTTCTTGTTTTTCTCCATCATGGGTCCGAGGGTGCATTGACTATGGTCCCTGTTCGACGTGTCATCGGGCGCCTTCACCATCACGTGGTGGATGAGGTGGTGTTTCGGTTCCCTCGGCCCACCAGGAGCGCTACAACTCCCCAGCTGGTTCTCATCAGGCTTTGCGAGGAGGGATCTCCAGGCCGCTGCACCGATTCTGCCGGATTCGTTGGACGGCGGGTCCAGGTCTGGACGCTCTCCAACAAATGAGGAAAGTGGTCACATTTGAGCGGATACCTTTTTCTTGCATGGTTTCTCGGATCACTCATAAGACACCGGTGATGTTTTTAAATGATGGAGTGGCCAAGAATTGTTCATTTCACACGACTTGCATGTTTCACACTCTTTGTGCCTGTAGCCTTAGCCCTCCCCACGGGCAAATGCGCCATATGTCCAATTGGAGAGCTCAGACCTCTTTTGAGACACGTGTCACGTGGGCATGTATCAAAATAGGAGACCTCCCAGTTCAACCCACTGGAAGGTTCAGAAAATTGACCGGCCCAGAGGGCGATCAGGGGTTCTCCCTCTAAAATACATACCCAGACCAGACCGCACCTCTCCTTGGCGACCGGTTTTGGCTCTGTGGCTGCGTCAAAGTCAGGCGCCCTTGAGTGGCCCAGTGGCTCCTACTTCCAGGTGCTGTCGGCCATGTTCCTCGGACGAGGACTGTCTGGCAGCATGTCCCGAGCGGTGTGAATCTCGCTAAAGCCGGGAGCCGGAGAGCCCCTTTCGAACTTTCGGAAAGTAGACCCGAAATGCACGGGGTCCTTTTGGTGTTTGCCGCACCTTTTGAATTGTGGTCAGCTTCCGTTTGCAGATGTGGATCGGAAAGTCAGATTTAGACGGTGGAACTCCAAGTTGGTGCAACGGTGACGACATGGGGACCCCGGTCCCATTTTTCAAACTCAGCTCAAGGGTGAGTGAACAACGAACCCTGTCCAATTCAGAGCTCGATCCTTCAGCGCTCCGGCGGTTTTTCAACGACCACGGTTCCAGTTCGCCGGTTGACCCGGTTCATCGCGGCTTCATTCTGCTTGAAACGGCTTGAACAGCTTCGTCTCGGTGGGAGCGGACCAGATCGAAGAAGTGCCGATCTGTGCCGATCACCTGATCCATTGGGTGTCGGGAGATCCCTAAGGGTGTAGGGTAGTCCATTTAGTGACCCCTTTGAAGGTCCTGGTGTAGATCCAATCGCTTTGATGGACACAAAACTCCACAAGCAGACAAACACTTGCACATGTGACTGCTTATTATGTGTCAATCTTTGCTGGTGACCCTCGCAACTGGGAACAAGATCATGGATCTATTGTGTTCAGACCATTGGACCTGAAAGTGCGACTTTACATGTCTATCATTCTACAGACCTACATGCTGGCAGCTTAAGAAGACTAAGATGCCAGTAGAGGTTTGGTCGCTGATCCATGCGTTTTCTGCGTGCGCACTGGTTCCTTCCCGTTTGATGCGAGGTCAGCCCGGGTGGCTCCGCTGGAATTGGTGAACCTGCTCAAGTCGGTGGCTTTGCAGCGCTTGGCGCCGGTGCTTCGCCTCGCTGTTTCACCCCGGTGTCTCCCGGCGCTGAGGCGGCGGATCGCCAGGATGTGGAGCTACAGCTCAGGAGGCGGCCGAGAGATGCAGAGAGAGAGAGAGGCTCCAAGTGAGGCATGAGACGAGCCGTACTGAGACAAACTATGCATAGGCAATAGGCCAATACTGGGACAACAAACCACTGTATACTGCATAGGCCAATGCTGAGACAGACTATGCTGTAGGCCATGTCAATGTTTGGAGTTTAGGTGCTTATTATTGGTATGTGTAGAACAGTGCCGTGTAAGTATATATATATAAAGACTATGAAGGCAGACCAATGCATGCTTGCCCGCCTTGGCATTCCGCAGGTCAGGCCCTATGTTTGTGAACCACACCTCCTTTGGTCGCCAACTAAGTATAGAATCCTTACATCAATATTGTACCTTGTGTGGGTGTTATCATGTGAGCCATGTGAGTGGTACATGGTGAACCTTGATAGTCATGGCCCATCGCTAATTGGCACAGCAACTGGCAAGCAGGTTCTCAGGTGTTACTGCCTTCGGGGCCCACGGACTTGCACCAACGAGTTGGCCGTCAACCGGCCCCCAAACTGTTCCAGGGCCGATCTGGGGTGTTATTTATACTCCTTGAAACAATCATGGAAGTGGAACATAGGCACTTGGAAGACCATTTTCCACTACAAGGGGCAAGGTGAACCCCACTGGAAGACCACTCTCCTACAAGAGGGGCCTGCTCAGCTTCCATGATTGTTTGAGGGAGGGTATTTAAATATCGAGGTTAAAGTTAAGGGAACCACCACGACTGTGGGTCCTTTTGGGCCTGTTGGCAGTTTCACTTCGCTTTGGCGCCAATGTACCCAGGCAATGGCAGGAGCAGATGCACCACTTGCAACACTTGGGTCAGAGCATGGTGCCTTGGTTTGCCATGAGTTCAGCCAGTTTTTGGCTGGCCCTCCCTGTTTCTGACTGGGGGTCTAACCACCTTCTGAGGCCGTGGGCCAGGAGCCCCCTAGGGTTGGGATCTGTCTCCCAAGGCCCGGGCCTGGGACGAGGCGCAGCAGGCGGCCCAGCGGGCGGAGGTGCCGCCTTGGGGTGGGGAGTCTGTAGCAGCTCCGGAATCGGTCGCTTTTGGTCCTGGAATAGTCCAACCCGGCAGAAAACGGAAGGACAGGGGAGCAGAGGTAGCATGTCATGGAGCACCTCACACCAGTGTGACCTTCTGGCAGTTCTCAGGCTTTGGAGCCTTTGGAGAAACAGTTTGCGTTACCTGGTTGAGTGGCTTGTTCTACCAATTGGTCATTGCACACTTTGCTTTGGTGCCCGCATGCCGGCGGCACACACACACACACCGACCGGACACTCCTCTATCCGTGGGGGCCAGTCCTTGCAGGCTTTGCTGTCAGGTGCACTGCTGCGTATCCCTGAGGAATCCCTAGCGGTCGTACCAGCCAGGGAAGCGCTTACAGGCTTCTGCAAGGGGTTCTCCACACTCCACACCCCTTGCAGAACATGACTTGCATTCATGTCCTTAATAAATTATACAAGCATAGACCCCAAACAGCTTCAAAACGATTCGTTTGGACCCCAACAGTAAACTGTTTGGGGAATAAGAATTGGCTCCTTTTCCAACCCCTCCGAGTTCGGTGAAGTTCCGAAATTCGGTGGAGTTCCGAAAGCTTCGCCCGTCAGCCTCAAGGCTTAAAGCTGGCGTGTCTAGGACTTGCTCCATGGAGGCTTAAGGGGTGTCCATTCACCACCTCTCTTCGGGGGGCCTGGTCGTGGTGGACGGATGCGGCGTCGCCTCCCAGCACGGCTTTCCAGGCCTTGCGGCACTGTGAGGCGGAGGAACGGCCCTGTTGGAGCGCCCTCTACGAGTCTCGCCGCTCGACCGGGCGGATCTGTTCATTCACTTTTTGGTTGGTGGGGCGTCATTAATTGTGTTTTGAATCCTTGATTGCCTGACATGGGAATTTGAGAATGCTCTCACAGAAGTTGAGAAAACCCATTAACAGACAAGCCACCAAGCCACACTCTGCCAGAAGATCCAGAAGTCTAGCATTGTTCAAGCAATCCCACAATCAAATCTACGTACTTGAAGCCCTCAAGTCTAGCTATGTTCCTTTCGGCTGTGCTTGCAACACATACTTCCAGCCACTGTCCTTTGATTTCACCCGACCGACGTTTCAGACGTTTTTCACGTCCTCGATGACTCGGTCCCGCCGTCCCGCGCTGCACCGCCAGGCTACCAGACACCGTGCGCGCCCGGCTTGGTGTTCGAGGGATCCTTCGCGGAAGCGCACGCGCAGGCGCGGGAGAAGAAGCAACTTTTGCTGTTATGGCGCCTCGGTTGAGTCAGTGGCTGGTGATGAGTGATAGTTGTGCAGGGTGGGGCGGGGGTTCGAGATTGATCAGTGGCAAACATTGAGAAGAGCCATACTAGACCTGCGGAAGACTTCTGATTCACACTCGTGGCTGCCAACACCTGTTTGGAATTGGTTGAGGAGGTGGGACAAGAGGGATCACAAGGGGGTCCCACAGCAATAGACGACAACTACAAGCAACACAAACGGCGTCTTGTGAGTTTTGTCACTCCTGCCGTAGATTTATATCATAGGACCTTTACATTTCACAACACCTCATCGATATATGTAAAGGACTAGAGCAGCAGAATCGGGCCGCCCGGCCGCCTTGGACGGCTGCCAAGGCTCGAGAGCAGCGAGGTCCAACAGTGCGGTAACACGACCAGCTTGGATCGAGAAGCGTTGGCAGGGGAGGTCTTCAATGCATTGGTCAAGGACATGGGATTGGGAGGAACTTCCAGTTACATCCCCCAAACTAGTCCAAAAAAAAAGGCAGAAAAACGGGGTCAGGACAGTATAATTAGTGTTGTTCGCTGATGGAATGCTTTATCAAATGATATCAAATCCAAACGAGGCAAGGACACGAGCACCAGATTTCACCACACACGAGCCACTAGAATCGCTGGAGCCAACGCAGGCGATTGAAGATGAAAGAACATGAGCTCGGTTGGGGGAAAACGTGTGATTGAAGAACCAAGTGCCCAACCGAGCCCAACCGTGCACCGAGCACCGAGCCCAACCAGACCGAGCTTGACACTCAATGCTGACGATCCTCCACCCACCCGTTGGGACCAAACCAGTGCAACCGGGAGTGAACGAGGCAACGCTACAAGGGGGAACACCCAACGAAGAAAGGAGGACACTTCAAGGAGAGCCATGAACATCCAAGGTCCCAATGTGATTGGTTTTGATGGGGCTACCTTACTTAAACACACTTCGAATCCTTCAAGTGTCACAATCACATACAATCACCTGGTTTGTGGGTTGAATTGGTTGAATTGATCAGAGGCATCGTCACCATCGTTTGGCCTGTTTTAAGACGAGAACTCACCTGGTGACAGGAGTCGGCTTACGCCTCCGACCGCGTGGGGTTTGGGCATGTTGGAGGCATTTTCTTTCTGACCTGACCAAGGCGTGCACGTTGCGTGCACCTGATGGATAGGACAACTGTTGCATATGTATATATATAATATATTACTTTAGATATAAAATACATAATATATATATATATTATAAAACATTATATATATGTACACCGCTCCAAACTTGATGCCTCAACCCTTGAAACTCAACTTTGCCTCTAGTCACTTTTGTCCTTGTCCTTTTTGCTTGAAGGTGATGAATTCGAACACAACTGGATCAGGTCAGGACAAATACTGTATTAAATCATTCATTGTTCTCCTTTGGAGATTTGTGTCCCTGCTTGGTGAGTGTGACTGCCTCCACGAGGAGTACTTCGTACTGTGGCCTGGCGATGCAGACCGCTGGCTGCTGCCAGTGCAGCTGAAGGAGCACCCAGATAGGATCAACAGTTGCAGTGGTTTCAGAGTAGATGGCACAAACCCCAACATGTCTTAGACCGATGGGGTCCGTATAAACCACCAAAAGGCGGGGTAACTTAACTTGCGCCATTTACTCTGAAACCACTTCAAAGCGTCTCGACCTGCACCATCCCCGCCACCATGGCACGCCGGTCCCAGGCCCCGCGGAAGCTGTGAATGTCAGAGTCGGCTGTTTAGAGCCCGTTGGCGCCACGGGATGCCATGCCCCAGGGGCTCCTTTTAACCTAGAAGAGATGGCCTCCAACCTACTAGCAATGGCCTCCCAGGTCTTTGGCAAGTGATTCTGTGCATGCGCTTTTTCGCCGCCACCCTTGGTGAGGAGATGTTGCGCCTACGGACACCCTGCTTTGCTGTCCTGGAGCCACTCAGTGTGTTTGAAGTTGAGGTGGGATCTGGGGTGATGTGTGATTACATGTTGCTGCATGAAACTGCCACGTGAATGTCCAGATCAAAGACATTCTGGGGTTGTTGCAGCATGAAAGGAAACGCATACGACGGCGTGCAATTGTGACTGGCCCAGAGTCCCGGAGAATGTCGCGGTACACATGCCGCACGCACAAGAAAACAAGACACAGCTGGGTCATGTTGGCCTGGCCACGCCTTTTAAATTGGATTTCTTGGAATGTGCGCTTCCACCCGCACAAACAGCGCACGCTGGACGCAGCTTGTGCCAGGTGTTTCCATGGTCTGATGCACGTGAGTCGGCCAATGAGTTCCCCATCAACTGCGCTTGGTCTTTCTTGGGCGCGCTCGAAGGAGCTGAGTTGACAGAGGTCTGAATCTTGGGCGCGCTCGTGGACGTTCTATCGCGAGATGGGAGGACATGGGCATGGGACCATTCAGCAAGAAACCTTTGGAAAAGTGAAGATACATGCGGCCGCGCATGTGGCACAGCCGCCATGTGACCTGACTAGGTGACTGACTGGGTGTCGCAGTGTCACATCACTTTTTATGTTTTGCTTGACTGGTGATTTGGTTGACTGGTTGCCCATTTGCACGGCAAACACATTCCACACCAGAAGCAACAGCATTCTAGTGGCCAACAATTCCATCCAGCGTCACTGTATGAAGGGCTGAAATCCAACTTGTTGGCGGCCCCCATGCACGATTTTTTTTCTTGTGCATGCATGTCTCCTTGGAACCACCGGGTGCACGAACCTTGTCTCCACTTCTGGGGACCTCCGGTGAAGATCCCAGCCCAGCCGCGGCCAGGGCGCTCTCATGAGCTTCTTGGCCCAGCACGGCGACGCCGCGACCGCGCGGCGCGCGCGGCGCGAGGCGGCGCGGGAGGAGCAGCGGAGACGGTCGGCAGAGGCGAGGCGGTTGCGAGAGGAGCAGGACTAGTGGGGAGGGGCGGTGAAGTTCGGTGAGTGGCTATGCAACAGCGGGCGTAGGGTTTTGTGAAGTCATTGTGAAAAGGTTGAGGTGAGATGATTGGGGAAAGAGGGTCATAGTATGTCATAGTGTGAATTTGACCAGTTGGGAGGAGCAAGGGTGAGGATGAAGAGTGGCAGCGTGTCCAGCAAGAAGCTAGGTTGAAACTCAACATGCAAAGAACCTTGGCCAGAGGCATCACCTTCGAAGCATCAGGTATGAGCATGAGTTGATCTAAAATGGGCTCGGTTCAAGACCATGCCCAGTGGTTGAATTCTTCACCTCAGTTTCTGAGCCCCAACACATCCTACACCGCTGGGTAACAGGAGTTGGAAATCCCGGTAGGAACAGCCGAGGAACAGTTTGGGTCCTACCCTTCGGAATATGTCACAATGTGGCCAGTCCGGATATCCCAAGTGCAGGACAGAGACTACGAGGAATCTTTGCGGCGAGATCAGGAACGTGGCGAACGAAATGAGGTGTTGTGGACCGTGGTTGGTGGACGGATGTCGATTCCTATGCCTCATGGGAGGTGGCCTGATGGAAGCCTTTCCCCAAGTGGAAATATTAGATCGATATATATAGTATACATTCTTAGATGATTATGGACAGATTATGTCTGGTCCGCCACAAACAGTGAAAATCTCTGTTCCCGGTCACCTTTCATCATGATTAGACAGGTCCATCCTGAATCATCCCCGTTGAGGTGGAAAATAGGTGCGCATCGGGTGCCTAGTGCCTTGGGGACAAAGATCTACGGTGAGTCTGTCCCGCAACTCCAAGAGCTTCTTCAATTGTTTGGAAAGGTGGAGTAGATGGGATGCCATTGCAAGGTTTGGAGCTCCACATGACTTCATATTCATTATGTGATATATAAACTGATATTTTGTGACCCTCCAAAATGACGGTCCCAACTATCATCAGCTTCCAGACTAGCAGATGAAACATGAGGAAGAAATGTGTCATCCAGCCCTTGACAACGGCGACAGCTTCAAATTGAATTTGTAAGGACACATGCATCTGGATACCCGCTGTTGGACAACTTTTGGGACCCAAACACCCCAAGATGTGGGCTCCAATCCCTTTTTGATGTTCGCTGGACGAAGCCAGGCGAAGCTTGATCCTGCCTTGGCGCGGCTTCGCGCCACGCGGCAAGAGCATGCACAGCAGCTGATGCGCCTGCCACGCACCGTGCAGAAGGCATGGCCGATAGACCTATCGGCCCCCAGTGAGAGAGAGAGAGAGAGTGTGCCCAAAAGGGCAGGTTTCGTTGGAGTTCCCTCATTCCCTACCATGCACCAAGTTGTCAGTCAGTAAGTGACCTTCTAGGTTTCAGGTCTGAGTCACGTGCTGGTTCTTTCTTTCCAGTGCCAGTCACATGACTGCTCTCATGGCGGTGATTCCTCCGGGGAGCTGTGCCAACTTCTTTTTAGACCGTGCTGATCGATCACTAAGGGTGCCTCTGCAAGCTGCACGAAGTCAAAGTCTCGAGAAAAAACAATGAATCTTATACTGAGACTTATGCTGTATAGCTATGTACAGCTCAAATTCCTAGGTCGTGCATGGCTCATCATGGAGCTTGCCGGAGCTGGGGTTTGAACTGGCGTTTTTTGTTGTAGACATAGCGCATCTCAAGGAGAACTTAACGAGAAAAGACATAACAAAGAGGTGTTCTCTACATCATGTATTGTGGGAAAAATTGGCCCAGCACAGATCCTCCAGGATGCCTGTCATTTGGTGCTGCGCTTTCCGTGCGGACGCCGAGCAGCCACTGGGTGACGAAGATGACTTTGACGGAGATGGAATTGACCTACAGTAGCATGTCCAGAGCAAGGTATCCCCTACCGTCCCTCAAACCGTGTACCCTCCCTCCAATGCTCCAATCACCATTTCCATCTTGGTTGGAGGGAGGGTGAGCAACGCAGAACATGGCGGGGTTCTTGGCTCGGCTTTGATTTCGTTGAGGGAGGCAATCCCATCTAATCGATGGCCTGGTCAATGTTGCAGTCCTACCCTGACAACAAAGTGACATCGACCAGGGTTGATGCCTCTTCACCTTACTAAGTACTATTAGATCTATTAGAAGATGTTAGAAGATTACATATATTACACTATATGGGCAGTTAAGGCGCTTGCCAAGTTGCACACCCCGCGGTCCAGGTCATTGAATCATTAACTCTCTAAAGCCAATCTGAACACCGCCCTCAACTCCAGGAACGGAGCTTCGCTGCCACGCAGACCCTCTCAGAGCTCTACCGCTGGGCCGACTGCGCGGGGGAACTCGCCGCGCTGGAGAAGACGGGCGACCGCTTCGACGTGCCGGAGCGCCTGGGACGACGGGCGACTGCTTGGTGTGGTGGGTGTGGTGGGTGTGTTTGGTCACGGGCTGCGTTTTTTTAAAAATATGGTTTTGGAGCGGCCAAGAACCCTTTGCACCCTTTGGCTTTCAGATGTGGGACCTTTCCAGGTTTTTTTGGACATGTGACGCTGTCCATGTGACAGACATTTTGTGAGAATGCCCTGCCCACCTGCCCCACTTGCATTTGCCGGCTTTTCTCCAGTTGTCACTCAACTACTCTCCACTCGATTTGCTTCACTGCCCTGCTGACTGCAGGCAAGGATGGCAAGGCGAAGAAAGACCTTCAGATAAGACCTAGGTTCAGCAGGCCAAGCCTGATACCCCACTATACCCCACTTCTACTTGCCCGGGGCAAATCAGTGGATTCACCTGATGCCTCAAGCAGACCCAGTGGAGCAAGTGGTGGACATCAACTATATAGCGTGTTTGCCTAGCACCCGTTCTGGACTCATAGAGGCTGCTGCATCCCTGAGTGCAACCTCGAACGAGCAAACGGGTACTTGTAACTGGGTGTTTCTAGCCCTAAACCTCTAGCTTACATGTTTAATTTGATATGATGCGGTAGTATGTGGTATGATGAGCGAGCTCAAGCACACCAATTATCTCATGGCTTGCAGTTCTTATTGTACAGCACTAGTACTGGTACTATATATTTTTTCTGGAAGGTATTCTATATTATACAAAACAAAAATTGCATTTGCCTGGCAAGTGGGTACCCCGATCAACCATACAAGCTACCATAGCCCGGGCCTCTAAACCGTTGGCCTTTACAAGGCCAACTGAGCATCCAGAATTCTGAAACACACTTGGTACACTTGATGTGCTTCAGGCCTCCCAAAACAGCATGCCCAAACATGTAGCCTCCATGTTGGATTCTAAACCCAAGACCTGTGCGACATGTAGCTAAGATGTTGGGATCCACTACCCCCCCAAAAAGAGCAGACTGTAGTAGCGTTTTATATAGAAAGTAATGTAGACATCTCAATGATGAACCCCCCTTCCATTTGGACGGCAAACCCTCTTCATATGGTGAGTTTTACTAATCAACGGTATGGATGGAGGAGCTAGTCGTGCTTTCTTTTTCAGGAACCTTCGCGAAGCAACAGACGGTCGGCTGTTCGCAAGACAGGATCAATACATGGCCCTATTGTTGACAAGTTTTGATAGCATGTCTCAGGTGCTTTGTTGCGGGAACCCATCAAGCATCAGCTTGAAGTAAAAAGGTGTACAACCTAGATCGTAATTCTGTAAGGTTGCAAGTTGCAAGCATATGACAATGTGTTAGTTTTCGACAAGGTTTCTGTTTATCAATTCGGTGGGTTTTGTCAGAAATGCATGTTTGACATCTTTTGGATTGGGGAGGCTGCGGGCATCCTTGCACTGGCCGAAGAAAAGGTTCCTGATGAAACATGTATTATCATGTGTCCAACTTGTCTTGGAGGACAGGATTCTCGATCAAGTACGGGTCAGGACTCACCCATCCCTGAAGTTTGCAGTCCTTTCAACATGCTTTTCGGATACTCCTTACTGACTTCCGGACACTCAGATCATGGATCCGGCTGAGGAAGTTTACGTTGGCGACCAGCTACCCCAAGGCCGTGCTCAAAGACCGCTCTAAGACCCTGAGACAACTCCACCTCACACCTTCGGCAGTGCTCACGCTTTGCCCGGAGTCCTGAGTCGTCCTTGGACACCCCCCATGTCGTGCCAGCTACGAAATCCCATGTCGTGTCAACAACTCCAAAGGTCCAAAGGGTTGATTGATATGGTTTTGCTTTATGTGGATTTGAGGAGTATACAATGGAACAGATCAAAAGGCCAGCTGATGATGGCAAGGCCTTACGATTTCTGGCCGGTGCAGGTGGGGTCCAAGACAGGAGCTCTTCATGCCCCTAAGGCTTCTAAAGCCTATTTGCCCCCACAAGTGGAGCGAATGGACAACCCCAATGGGTTGTTGAACAAGCAGACGACGAATGCGGACATCCAAAAAATATGTTTCGAAAAGACATCTTGTCACCTCCCCCGTAGATGGACTCTCCATGGATGTAGGAAGAGACCATGAGGACTGTGCAACCTCTACTCTAATTGGGTTCCTGTTTTCCTGTTCAGATGCTGTGTGCTAATGGTCTAGGTAGTCTGTGTGCGGCTGGCAAGACACAACTGCATGTATATAGCGCTATTTGCTCTGCTGTTTCTCCAGCATCGAAACCGCTAAGAGCAGCTTTGGAACGGGAGGTTCTTCGACGACTGGAGGTGGTTGGCAGCCTTGGTCCGTTTCCATATGACTGGTCGGTTGGGAGGGCAGCAGTAGGAATGGCTGATGATGGGTCATGGTCAGGTTCAAGCAATGATGAAGAGCAAAGGTTGTCCGGAAACTGGAAGGCCGCTCAATGCTGTCATCCACTGCAGCTGAGACATGAAAGTAAGATACTTGCAGGTACTACATCACAAGGAACCGCCGCAACATATCAAGGCTTTTTGGTTGAAGATGGACCAGCCGCAGTGAGGCCGGTGTTGCAAGGCCCGGCCCGATCGTTTGCCACGAGCCGCGTGTCTCACACAAAGAGGTGAGACTCCGCAATAGGCCGTAGAAGTCCGGAGAGAGCCGTCAACAAATGAGGAGAACCCCTCAGAAAAGAACAGCTCCCTCCACATCCGTGGCCAGGAAAGAGGTGCGGCAAGGCTTGGTAGGCTGAAGGATGGGAAGACCGTGTCTTCTGCGCATTCAAGAGCAGCAAGTGGCCCCCTCTTCGCACCTGTTCAGTTCACACCTACACATGACATGGCCGATTGGCATGGCTGCATCCTTTGGTAGGGTGATCGCCTATAATCTCGGGGCAGACAGTGGCAGACAGCTACACCGGCCCCGAGCTTTGTTGTTGAAGTCAATTTGTGGTTTGTGGTTGGACAACTCACCACTCTGAAGCGTTCCGCTGAACACATTCGATGGCGTTTTCCGTCACCCCGACAATGGCCAAACCGTTGGGGCGCCGGATCGGGCCGTTATAACCGCAGAGCACACACACCAAATCCGGAGTTCCAAAGGGGATAAAGGGTTGGGAGTTATGTCGGGTCTTTCGATCCCTCCGACTGGAGCAGGTTGGGGCTCAAATCCACAGCTGGCCCCACGGTCGCTGGGTGCCGCGAACTCGCAGAGGTCCCCAGGTCCCACGGGACGCGTGTGGGACGTGAGGTTCGAAGCTTCTTTCGGATGCACATTGGAGCCGGAGAACGCCACCCTTTGCTCAAAGACTGGGCAAGGATTGCCTGGAGCCTCAGCATGCGCCAGCTGAAATGATTTGGGATGATCTGGGTTGCAGAACAAAGAGCCTCATAGGCTGGGGCCGATGATTCACCCATAGCCCATAGCCATTCTGAAAGCCGCACATTTTTCTTTGGGCATGTTTCCCAGGCACCTTTGTTTGGGGTTGGTCATATCGCAGCCCCCAAATGTCACGAATGTCAACTTTTTGCCGATGACGTCGCAGCCGCTTGCGCAGCCTGGGGACCGCAGGTGGCATGTCCCGCAACTCCGGTGAGCATACAATCAACGCTCTCCGACGCCGATACACTACACATGCAAGCTCAGGGTCAACCGTTTGGAGCATTGTTTCGTCTTTGCCTTTTTCAAGCAGAGCTTTAACACACTAGTACAGGGCAAAGATCTTGGAAGCCCGCTCCAAAACAAGAGGCGCTTCCATGCGTTGTTTCGGTGCATCATCTGTTCCTAGAGGCTGCAAGACGCCACTTCTACCGGGCGGCCAGGGACACCAGGGACACCCTGGGATCCACCACGGTTTGAACACAGGGAGCACAAGGAGAACGGACGAGAGAGGGTGTCAAGGAGCACAAGTAGACACATCAGTCCTCGAAATAGATAAAATCATGAATGAAGATGGTGCATTCTGAAGGAACATGCCATTTCCCTCTCAATGTTGGTGCTTTTTACTTTTTTGATGCAATTGCAATAGTGCGTATATATATATATATACACCCAAGAAACGTTCGATTCCTTAGTGTTCCAAGGACGTGACAGTCATGGTTGACCAAACCTACCAGTCCACTTGCTACTTGTTCACAGTCACTACTGTAACATGGAAGTGGATGGGCATGGCTCCGGGAAAAGACCTTTTGTCCATTTCCTGTATTTACCGATGACCGTGGTTGTCCACCACATGTGAGTTTGTTTAGCTGGTGGCCCTCGGAGGAGAAAAAACAAAAGCGGCCTCGGTGTAGCGATCCGAGCCCAGCTCCCCTTTCCAAGGAACTAAAGTAGACTGTTGATGAATAACACCCCCCGTACCAGAAAAGGGTTTTCAAATCCAATCCTGGGATTTCATGAATCAACATGAATCAACAAAGAACATTACAGGGAGCTTTCCCAACCACATGGGACTGGACTCGCCCACACGCTGGACTGGACTTGCTTAGGCCGTCGCCACCTTAGCACCGAGCTGCGGACATTCCGGTGTGGCGAGGACTTTCAATTAGCCTGAGGAGTTCAGGGGAGCTTATAAAAATAGATGGCTCCACCTCAGAAAGGCCAAATACTTGACATAGCTTGGCAATGGATCACTTTGGAATGACAGACCCCTCCATACTCTCGTCACCCACTCACAGCACCCATGAACTCTGTGGTTACCCGAGACTCTCGTCGGTCGGCCGAAGAGACCGATTCCGTCGACCGAAGAGACCGAGCGTCGAGCGTCGACGGACGTTGGACGGGGCACGGCGGGGGGGAGGGTAGATGGCCTTCAAGCTGACTCCAAAGTCTGCATAATATATAGAATGGGAAGGATCGATGTAGATAGGCTGATGCCTATCCAAGTCTCATCACATCTCAAGGCCCCGATCATTTGGTTTGTATAGGAAGCTCCCATCAAAGGTGAATGACCATTCATCTAACATTTTTTGACTATATGTTTACTATAGACTAGACTCCAACCGGCTTTGACCCTTGAAAAGTCTAAAAACCTGCCACAAGACGGGAATGAGCAACTTCAAAGCTTCATTGCCTTCTCCGTGCGTCAGCATCATAGCACTCGGGAGCCAGCTTTCATGGGAATTGGAGCTGCCCCACTCAACTAGCCAGTGAAGTGTGAAAGTAGGGAACTCTGTGACAGAACTATGACGCCCTAGAAGATGAAACTGTTTAAGCTTCAGAACTATGGACAGCCTAGACCCTGGAAGACCCTGAAAGACCCTGGAAGACCCTGGAACCTATGGAGAACTTATACTTTACATCTTCTTACATCGCGAGAGCCACGTCCTGCCTCGGTCAGACCGGTGGCTCTCGGCATCCAGGTCGACATACCAAGACTGGTGGGATGGAAGTGCCGCCTGGGACCCAGTGACGCTGACGCCCGGCCATGAACCACCCCTGGACCGGTGAGCGGTGAGCACGGCACAGCGAAAAGCTCCGTGGTTGGTGAGTCCATGAGCCTTGTGCCCAATCCAGACGCAGTCAGACCTTTTTGGCAAAGGTGCTGCGTGCGACGTTCTAGGCACCAGGCGTATGGGTGGCGGAGAGCGAAGACGCATCGCAAGGGCCCAGTTGGGAATCGCCAGCGCCGTTCCCGGCACGTGAAGATGCAAAAAAAGAGAGCTAAGAAGCTGCAGATGATGCACCGCAACCAGCAGATGGCTCTTCTTGAGCAACATTGGAGCTTCTTGAGAGTTTGAAGAGACACAAGGGTTTCCCCAGGAACCTGACCGAAACCAGTGGTGACCCGCACTGTTGCAGAGCAAGCTGGGTGTGGTGCTTCCAGCTGTTCTGTAGTGACTGTAGTGAGATACGTCACGTCAGAAAAAGAAAGTCCAGAAGGACCTGGATGATACTCAGGATGCCCAGGATGTTGGGATCCAGTCGTGATCGTGGGATGCAGCGACCACACTGGTCGTTGATCCCATTCCGGAAGAATGGACCAACGTGAGGTTGCAAGAGGTAGCCAATGTGGTTATAGTCCAGCAGAGCTGATCGTTTTGCGTGGGGTTTCGTGAGTTTCACTCACTCTAACCACGCCTGGAAGGTTCAGGAGGTCTTCTCTTCCATAGGCAGAGATTCAGAGGTGAAAGCAGTTCAACTGGTGTTATCTCCAGCTCCCACCCAGGGTACGATGCCAATGCCTTGCGGATGGTGAAATGGCGGTGACATTGCAAATCTGAGATTCACCAGCAATCCTTAGCATTCCTTTTTAATGTGTCATTAGATGTGTCATTGTATAATTTCAATTGATTCAATAATATACTCATATATTTATATTAATTTAACTAAATCAATCAGATGTTCAGACATGAATTCAAATCAGCAAAAAGCGGAACATTGTTGGTTCCGATTGAGTCCAAAACAGCAAGACACTACAAAGAGAAATGATGAGGACTGCCTCTGAAACAGGACCTCGCCAAGCAGAATTTTGTCGCCTGGGCTGAGCATTGGCAGGATGAGAGGATGAGTGAGAAGTGAGAAGACATCAAACCACGCTTTGGAGAGCTTTCTGGGATGTTCACACTTTGCCCCTATGCATCCCTATGCTTCTTGGGGTGTATTTTGTTTTGGTTAGGTGAATGTATATATATAATATATATATATATATGTGTGTGTGTGTGTGAAATTATAATGAAATTAAGTTATACTATATGCTAAAGCAATGCTTCAATTCAAGTCTTTGGGCGGCATCCTGGTTTTGTTCACCCGTTGATGTCGCGCCGCTGCCTAGACAGCTGATAAACGGAGGCTAATCTGGGACAATGGAAAGGGTTGGCTCATGAGTGATGACTGGCAGTCTGAGATTGTTCTGATATTTGGCACACATTTACACTACTGTTTCTTCTGGTCAGAGTCTGCCGACTTGAAATCAGAGACACCGTTGGCAGTTGATCGCTTGGTAGAGCGTTGGACAAGTTGATGCGCCCTTGTCATTTGGCTTTAGGACGCACTGACACGCACGCTCGCCCACGAGGATTGGGGGCGAGAGTATGGCCATGGCACGAATGCTCGGAGTGGTGTGCGGGGTGGCTCTAGGAGTCTTCGCCTTTGTGGAGACTCAAAAGGTCATGGCAAAGGACTTGTTGTGTGCCTTTCCATGATGTTCCAAACATCGTCAGATAATGTCAGATAGATTGGTTGCCACGACAGACGTTATTTTCTAATTGGGTGATGGGCATGCAAAGCAACAACGGAGCGGCCCAGCTTTACTTGGAAGGTAACTGTAATGCAAAATCAAAGGTTCTCAACCCAAGCGGTTGACTCTGGCAGAACAACAACCCTGAAGGATCCTGCGATCCAAAAGTTTCAAAAGTTCTGCATCGCAGGAGCCGGTGTTGCCAATGTTTGAGCCAAAACATTGAATATCACTGACTGGATAGTTTTTGTTTTGGACAGACATATGGCAAATAGATGTGTTAGCTGAATTGTGTTATTTTACTTGGCTAGTGCCACACGTCTCTACGGGAGGTGTGATTTATTACGTGCATCTATGCACATCTGAATGTTACGTAAATGATTGTACCTTACGTATATTGCTCGTATATGCTTTGTAAATCCTCCATGTGAGACGCTGGCCATTTTCCGGTAGACCACCTTTTCTGTTTCCCAGCCAGTCTTGGAGGAAATGCTACTGCACTTGAGCAGGCGGGCCTCCATGACTATGAGCCCATGCTGGGTGGCCCCTTCATTTGCATCCTCACAAATTTCGTCTACGTGCTGGCCGCTGAGCCAGCTGGTCTTCTGGTTTGGGGTCTCATTTCCACGCTGGTGTTCCCCTTAACACTGCTGATCTATGCTGAAGCCGGCCGCGGCGGCGCGAAGGGGCCGGTGAAATGGCCCATCATGAGACTCGGCTAGATGGTGCAACCGATATTGTATATAACTTTAACTGATATACAGTAATGCATATTACATGTAGACCAGGGCTCCCCTAAGGGGTGGTTAAGTTAATGGATACCCGGATACCTCTAAGGAGCTATAATTGGACACCCCAAACCAGGGGGCCCTGGTCAGCACTCCAGAGACTCAGAGGGAGGTAGAAACCATGTAACCAGGATTTTCATGGGAACGGCTACGTCCAACTGTACAACTACGCCAGGTCCACGGCTCATAGACGCCGTGAGGTTTCTGATTTGGTTCTTGAGAACGTTTCCTGGGTTGACTGATTGGGTTTCGTTTTCGTTCAGACGTGAATTTGAGACTGTTGAGACTGGTTTTTGAGCTGAACATGAGCGGTTCGCGTTGTTACGAGACGGACGTTGTGTTTGTTTTTGCAGCTTCCAAACTTCTTAGTTTTTTTGACAGAGTGGTGTGTGTGTTCCTAGTATTTAATGGACCTTGAGCCCGACTGGGGGCAGATGTGGAAAGCGTCGAAGTGACTTCTTCGCCACAGCAGAATGCACTGTTTTTACTTCAACAGTTGCGTAGCATGTGCAACGATTGTCATTAGCCCCACCCCACCCCACCCCACCCCGGTTCTCACAAAGCAATTCATTTCCGTACAAGAGCAGTTGCGTAGCATGCGCAATGTTTGTCATTAGCCCCGCCCCATGTTCTCCCATAGCAAGTCAGTTCCCTACCTAGAAAGTTCAACGAGTGTCATTGACCCCATCCTACCTCCCCTCCCCACTTCCCCCTCAAGGAAATCTCAAAAACAGTACTGCAAAAAATAGCACCAAAAAAACACCGCGGCTGTCTACACACCAAGGTCCAACTACTTTGTAGTGACTACTTAGACTATGCGTATAGTCTGAGGGAATGCTTGGCAATTTTAAGAGGTTCATTTTGAGTGCTGTCGGGTCATTCCGTCGTCCCTCACGAAACCTGTGAGGAATCCCTGTGTTCAGATCGGGCCTTCCAGCAATCGCTCCATGTCGCATCCACAGGTTTTCCTTGCCGACAAAACCGACCACCCAACTATGTCTCCGCTCGGTCAGGACCCTGCTGTTGGGCCAACTGCTGGGCATCAGCGTGATTTTTCCATCCTTCTGGGTCCCCAGCGCCTTGCTGGGCCAGGGAAGTGGCTCCACAGTGAAGGGCCGTGTTTGGATGGCCATGTTTTTGGTGCTGCCGATTACTTTGGTGGAAGCTTTCGTGTTCTTCGGCGATGCTCATTCGTACCCTGAGAATGCGCTCAAGCTTTAACATTTTGTTTTTCCTGACCTCAGTTTGAGCACTAGCTACCCCAAAGAAAGCCCAAAACAAATCTATATAAACACATTTCAAAGGAGGGCATGGACACTTTGTGCTGGCTTGCTCACTGGTCCTGGCTTGCCTTTCCTGGGCGTCCTCTTATGGCCTTTCCCAGCGCCCGAGAAACCGGACGGAGCAGCCATTCGATCTTTGGCAGGACGGCCGGTATCTAGTTGACTGGCACGGTTTGGAAGAGGTTTTTGTCGCCAACTGGGAGGGGGGTCCGGGGGTCCCAAGAAAAGTCAGAGTTCAGGATTTCAAGCTAGCAGATTCAGATGCTAATCTGCAAGATCTTCTTTGGGGCGTTCGTGTCCCACGAGGAACTTCGTGTGCCACGATGAACAGATAAACACATTTATATAACCTTTTTCTTTATCAACTGTCAGGTGAAGGTCTCTAGATTTTGATGTCAGCGGTGTCCTTGCTACCTCCTCGCTACCTCCCTTCTCAAGACATGATGATGCTCATCTATCCAGAGCGGTTCAGAATGCAAGCGGGCACTCGTTGTACAATGCCCAGTGAAGTGCCAGCACACATACACAAACACACAAACATAAACACACAATAACACACACAGATATGTATGCATATATATATATAATTTTTATTGGATTCATATTATATTCACCCTTAGTACATGTATATACACATATGTGCGTGTGTACGTACGTGTCATTACGTATCTATTTGTTTTATGCATAAACATACACAAAGTATGCCTCTCTCTCTCTATATATATATAATATCTTTAATACTAGCAATGGCCGCCATCCACTGTGCTAGGTCCTAGGCCATGTGCTAGGACAGTTTGTGGATGTCTGTGAGTACATACGTTCTTCCTTCTTCCAGTCACCCCTCACGGTGGGGATCTGATACGGCAATTGTTTGGCAGCTATAGGGGTCAGTCAATGGGTTTGAGTGCATTCGTCCATATTCGTCCAGCTGTAAACCAGAGGGTGCCGCACAACATGTTGAGGGTAATAGAGATTTGGGATCACCTAGACCTTTTGTTTTGCTTTAGAGGGCCATGCGGCATTAGCATCCTTGCTTACCTTATAGTATTTTACATCCTTGTACATAAGACTATAGCTTTAGCCGGTCACTAGGTCCTCGCACGTTTTCACAGACAGCGTGCAGCATATTGCATCTCACGAGCCTTTGCCCAGACCAGCAGTTCAGCCTGCCCCAACCTGTTACTAAAGCTGGGCTTTACTTTGGCACTCGGTCGCGGGTTGGTCTCCGTCGGTCGGTGTTGGAAAGGATAGAGAAGTCGACGAAGCAAAACGCCCTTTTGTGCCATGCAACGCCGTTGGTGGTTGCGCATCCTTCCGGGAACGAAACAAACAAAACCCCGTGCCCTTGGCCGGCTCAATGGCGTGGTAGACTCTCGCGGAAATTGCGGGGCATGGGTCATGACCCACCTGGAGCACTGGTCACTGGTCCACCATGTAGCGAACGACCTCCATACCCAGACACTCCATGTATGCCATGTATAACTACATGGTCCGCCGTGCGTAGATGGCCGTGGTGTTTTGTGGCCATTTGAATGAGTTGCAGAACGTATTTTTATTGAAATTCCATTGGGGCTAGGGTTTGTGGATATATCGCAAGTATGAAGTCCAGTTATTTTTGGTTCGGACAAACTACTTTGCGTCAGTACGATAGCTTACTTGCGCATAGTGCGCCAATGGCGCAAACAGCTTGCCTGTGACCACCCAGTCCACTAGCTTCGTTGCGTGCACGCAGCGTTGTGGAACTTGAGGCAATCATCATCATCAACTTACTGTAGGTGGAACATGATCTCATAGTTCAAGTTATCGATTGTTGTTGTTGCGCCACGTGTGCAAGCATGTCACATACACATACGTCATTACCGCCCCACCCCACCCCCCCC